TGATAAGAAAATACCGAAGGGTTTGATGGCAGTCGTCGGTCTCTCCCGGTCTGAGACCCGGAAGTTGTGTCCGAAAGGGGTATTCATTGCCTGTAATAACGCTAAAGACTCTGTAGTTGTTTCCGGTAATTACTTTTTACAACTTCACATTATTTTAATTAAAAATAATATTGATTTTAATTTATTTTTAGGTCCAATGAATGCAATGAAAGAAATGATAAAAACATTGGAAGAAAAGGCAGTATTTGTTCGACGACTACAGAGCAGTGAAATCCCATATCATTCACAATATCTCATATCCAGTGCACAGCCTATGACTGACGCCATCAAGAAATACATACCAAACCCTAAGCCCAGGACAAGGAAATGGGTGTCCACTTCACTGATGACGGCTGACCCGGAAGAGCAATCATTAAAATACGCTTCGGCTGAATATTTCGTGTACAACCTAATNTATGACTGACGCCATCAAGAAATACATACCAAACCCTAAGCCCAGGACAAGGAAATGGGTGTCCACTTCACTGATGACGGCTGACCCGGAAGAGCAATCATTAAAATACGCTTCGGCTGAATATTTCGTGTACAACCTAATGAACCCGGTCAATTTCTACGATAAATTCAAGGATCTACCTACAGATGCCATTGTCTTAGAGTTAGGTCCGCACTCATTGTTTGGCAAAATAACGACCGAAACACTGGACAACTCTACGTACGTATCGCTCATTAAAAAGGACTCAAACGATACAAATCTGGATATGTTTTTGTCCGGATTGGCAACACTTTACGAATTGGGTTACAATCTGTCGGTTGAAAACCTGTATCCAAGGGTAGAGTGGCCGGTGGCTAGGAATACCCCCTCAATCAATTCGCTTATCAAATGGGATCACAGCACAGAGTTATCAGTGAGAAAGTACCCTGAATGGTTTGATAGGTCCAATGCATCAGATATGAATTATACGGTCAACTGTAAAGACAAGGGTGACCGGGCTTATTTGGATCACGCAGTAGATGGCAACCCTATATTTCCGGCCACCGGGTATTTAATGTTAGCCTGGCGCAAATTGGCGGCCAGTGTTGGCAAATTGTGGTATAAGGTGCCCGTTGTTTTTGAAAACGTTCAGTTAAAACGAGCCACCTTTCTATCTGACGAAAAGAACACCAAGCTCAAAGTCAAATACTACCCATTAACAGGTATTTAGTTTAATTACATTAGTGTGTACTAAGTTTAATTATAAATTTATATTTAAAATTTTTGAATTACCATCCAGATGACTTTTCTGTATACGAAAACGACAACCTCTGTGTTGTGGGCAAAATCAGAGCACCGGGCGATGACGTACTGATCGCTCAAAATAAGATTCACGAAAATGAGAATAAGATATCCTTATGTGAGTACAAACTGGAAAGGGATGACATCTATAAGGAGTTGCGTGTTATGGGTCTGGACTACGGCCCGGAATTTAGACGTCTGCGCAAAGTCGGCACAAATGACTTCAAAGAGATTTACGCCGTAAACGAGTGGACCGGCAATTGGGTCACATATATGGACGCCGTTTTGCAGTCCATGGCCTTTGCGATGCCGTTCCGTAAGCTAATGGTGCCGGTGATGATACGCAAACTTAGGGTCGACCCGCGGGTGCTGTTCGACGCCATCAAACGCAATAAGATAGAGGAACAGGAGGTCCACAAAGGGGACAAAGACGACACCGAAATTGAACGCGAGTTGAAGGCCACTATGGATCAGGACGCTGATGAGCACCGGGAGGGCTCGGCTCAGAATATTGAGTCCAAAACCGATAAAGAGAAAGAGACTTATAGTGAAGTGTCGACTCTGGCCCACAAAGAGATGGAAAAGGCTAAGGAGCGGTGGTGTATGTACCCGGCTAACATGCCAGTGTACGCCAACATCACCACCAAACAGTTGGTAGCGCACGGTATTGAGGTGGAGGAGGTGATGGCGTTCCCCATTCCCAGGCGTATAGACACCACTGATCTTGTGTTGGATTCGTCCGAGTTTTGCGCCAATGATGACCACTCGGCCATCGATACGAGTCTATCGGTCAATGTTTCGCAATATATTGAGGTTTGTGTCATATTTACAGTGATATCTGTGACGAGAGTAATAAAGTGATACTGATCAATATTTTTGAAAACCTTATTCTGTTTTAAGGATCCAAATATATTACATTTTTTTATAAATTTAATGAAAATATGTATTACTATTGACTGCATTGCATGTGTCAACGTCTCTCAAACGGGTTCCTGACTTAAGTAGTATATAGTTTTGAATGGATTACTTAAGTTGTGAATCCTATTTGAGAACCGTGTGTATTATCAAGGTGCAATTTATTAATTATTCTTTGATGGTTTTTAAAATATAACTAAAGTTTTATGCTCATGCAGTAGTTTAATTGCTTAACACTATCTTGTTGTAGTTATGCAAATCAATGGCCGCTAAAGTGAAACAAATGGCAATGAATATGAAATGCGATTTCAATTATAAGTCGATTAGCGATGATGTGATCCAAGAGCATAGAAATGCAAACAATGAAAATCACGTTATGTTTAGAGTTTTTGATAAAATATTCACTGAAATGGTCAAATGAATATGAAATGCGATTTCAATTATAAGTCGATTAGCGATGATGTGATCCAAGAGCATAGAAATTCAAACAATGAAAATCACGTTATGTTTAGAGTTTTTGATAAAATATTGACTGAAATGGTCGACCAGAATATGAATCCCACGGCAAACAAAGACACGAAACAAACGTTGACTGAAATCCAAGCGAATCCTGAATACGATATGAGTAAAGATGTCATAAACCAGATCTCAAGGAATGAGCGAATGATTAGATCTCTTGTTGACATCGTTTGCGAAAACTATTTGAACGTAAAATGTTGACTGAAATCCAAGCGAATCCTGAATACGATATGAGTAAAGATGTCATAAACCAGATCTCAAAGAATGAGCGAATGATTAGATCTCTTGTTGACATCGTTTGCGAAAACTATTTGAACGTAAAAGAGATAAAAGTGACGGAAATTAATTTGAGTCAAAGTCTATTAGCCAAGGAAGTGGATCAGTTTATCTATTTATTTAAGATTTTGCAATTTATGGTCGATTATAATCTGGTGGTGAAATCAAAACAAGCCGTGAATGAAGTGTTTAGAGAAAAGGCTACGGAATGGGATCCTAAGGATAGTCTGCCCATAAATCCTTCAAATCTAGTGATCATGAGAGACACACCGGACTTATGGCCAATAGATTTGCAGACATTTATTGGAGACTTGTATGACTCGATCCAAACAAACGGATTCCTATTAACGGTATTCCGCTATAAGTTTACGGAACCGGAGATCGCGTTGAACTCAATGAACGGAAATCCAAGTCTTAATGACTCTGAACTGACTCTACGTTTAGAGAAATTCATAACAATTGCCAAAAGTGCCGGTTTGCGCCTAATATGCAGCAAATGTGATACAATAGGAACGGTATGCCTGTTGTTCAAAAATGTGACAGAAACACATCCATGTCCTGAAAAGCATAATGTCGTTAATATAAAGGGCGGTGATTATGAGAAATGGTTTGGATTATTGCAGGAAAGGCTGATTGAGGCCAAGGAGGCCGACAACGTGACCGAACCCGTATGGCTCGTAGCCAACGACTCATCAATTAATGGCATAATAGGTCTCATGAATTGCTTGCGATTAGAGCCCGGGGGGGAAAACTTCAGATATATTTTCAATTATGACAGCAATAGTGAGAAAATAGACTTCAATGTCAGCCCTTATAGCGATATATTGGCCAACGATTTGGTGGCGAATGTCGTGAAAGAGGGAAAAGTGGGAACTTATCGACACTTAAGACTTCCCACGGATTACATTATAGCGATATATTGGCCAACGATTTGGTGGCGAATGTCGTGAAAGAGGGAAAAGTGGGAACTTATCGACACTTAAGACTTCTCACGGATTACGACAAATGCCTCTCAAATGACTATTACTTGAATTCATCAAAAATGGGTGATTTAGGAGGACTTCAGTGGAATGACTCCCGCAATATACCCCGAGTGAAGGAGATGTGGGGAATGACTAACAATAGAGAGACTCTGACCAGGGTCGAGATCTATTGCTCGGGTATCTCATTCAGGGATGTCATGTTGGCGACCGGTAATTAACTGATTTAGATTTATATTTGAAAATAAAACGAATTGATAAGAATATAATAAATGATTTGCTAACTAGGTCGTATACCATCTGGCCCTGAGCAGTTATTCACAGATTGCTCCATAGGCTACGAGTACGCCGGTCGTAGGGCCGATACGGGTGAACGTGTGATGGGTCTGGACGTCGGCCGTACATTCGCCACCTCTCTTAACGCCACGCTCTCGGGTATGACTAAAATACCCGACCACTGGTCTATGGCCGATGCGTCCACTATTATCAACTATATACTTTTTCAAATGAATCGATGAATATGTTTTCATCAAAAATTATTTTACAAGAGATTAGTGATCAAAATGACAAACAATTTTGAATCTTAGGTAAAGATACTAAGGCTTTGCTCCAAAATTATGTTTTACAACATTCCCTTTTTACCAACTATTTAAAACAACTTTTACCGATTCTTACTTATGACCAGTTGTATGAATAATAATTGAGGCAAATATGTTATTTCAATGTAAAAATTTTCATTTAAACTAAATTTATAATAATTTATTACAAGAGATGCTGCATTAATATCAATTTGATGCATAAACGTATCACTAATACATGAGACGGGACATTTAGCTTGGCAAAATTTGATCAATTTATAGTTGAATTCATTTTCCTTATTTATATAAAAATCTGAACAAACCGTGACATTTGGGTCAATATAGTCGTCGTATAACCGAATGGTTAGTAAACTATTATATTTGGGAATACATTGGAAGTGATTCTGATATGACTTTTCGTAGCATTTATTCAAACAATGAAATTGTGTTTCATTTGTCGGATATTCATAGCATTGGGTTTCGTATGGTTTCGGCAATCGTTTGAATGAATGTCTAATTATTTTAATTAATTTCGTTTCACTGTTGGGATTGTCTT